GGGGAGGGGAGGAGGGGGGAGGGAAGGGGAGGAGGGGGGAGGGGAGGGGAGAGAGAGAGAAGGAGGAGGAGGAGGAGGAGGAAGAGAGAAGAGAAATATGGGGTAGGGAGAATCAACAGGGGAATGGTTTGGTTCCAGGACATCTCTCTGAAATGCTTCTTACAAAGGTGTGTGAATCTGAAATAATTTCAAGTGAGAAGTTTCATTTTAATAATGGCACTACATTGAAGAGGTATAGTAAGAATGGATGAGGGAGGGGCTCAAGAAGTCTTACCCAAAGACTGTAAGAGCCAGAGGATCAGGAAATTTGTTGTGCGATTCTTTTCCTAGTGACATGGAAACTATAGCCAGAAATTATCACCCACATGACTGTCCAAATGTGAGCTGAACAAGGATGGCAGCCCTGGACATGCCAAATTGAACAGGTAAAAGCCCACGAGGCCTCAACCCTACACAAAGAGCTACAGGCAACTGAGGAAAGCTGGTAATGGGAAAGGTGGCCTTCCCCTGGGAAGAGCACACCAATTAGTTGGCCAGTGCCAGTCAGCCCTGAAAACGTACATATAGGTAGCATTATATAGACTGAACAGGTTGCATTTAGAAATATGTATGTTTATACATGTATGTATACAATAAATATGCGTTTAAAAAGGACATGAATTTAAAGGAAAGTGGGAGGTGGATATGGTAGGGTTTGGAGGAAGGAAAGGGGAGGGAAATGTTGTAATCTCAAAAATAAAATAATGAATACATGAAAATAGATCCCACCCCCAGCTGAGGAGCTATTGGCAATTGATAGCTATAGAGAAAAGGAGAGTCAATATTATTTAACAATGAGAGCCCTGGTAGACTGCCTAGGCTCTAGTAGATAGTCATCTATTCATTCAATAACTGGCAAAACTAAGTGGACTCAGTGCATTAAAGAAAAAAAAGAGTACATGAAGTTGGGAATGAAAAATGGAGCGGGGGGGGGGTAAAGGAAGGAATTGGAGGGGAGGAGAGGGAGAGGTGTACTTAACCAAAACATCATGTGTATATACAAAATTCTCAAAAAATAAAATAAGTTGACACTCTCTTACACCGAGACAAGTTTGGATTATGGAGTGCTATTTGTAATGGATATCATTTCAGACTCACTGAAGTTGTGAAAGACAGGTGGATTGAAAGTGTCTTCCTCTTCGTGATTTTCCTCCAAAGTTGGATTGTTCATTGTCAGGGTGTGGTTTCCAACACCGGTTTCTGCGATTTCTGGCATTTCTGTTAAAAAAGTTAACGATTGTCATATAAGACCTTTCATACATAAATTATTTCCTCTAGGAAAGGAGGAGGAATTAAGACATTCACACAAAAAGGAAATGTAGAAGAATTTGTCCCCCACAGACTTACCCATAGGAAACATTAAAGGGAATCTTCCATACAAATGGATGTGATGAAAGAAGGAATTTTGAATCATCCAGAAGGAGAAAACAATAGAAACGACAGGTACAAAATGCTAGCAGGAATATAAAATAGTCTAGCCACCCTGAAAGGCAGTCATGCAGTTTCTCACAAAAGTGAGCACGCATATGGCCAAATTTGTCAAGCTGTATACATTCAACATGTGTAGGATTTTACATATCAATTACTATGGGTTGATTTTACATATCAATTACTATGGGATATGTTGTCTCATTCAGAATCCAATATTGACAACTTGTTAGTATTGAGATAAGAGAACTTTGAGAAGAGGTTACCAAGCTGTGAGAACTCCTCTCTCACGAATAGCATTAAGTTCCTTGTAAAAGAGGCTTAGTGCAGCGGTTTTGGAGCTTGCCTTTATAACCTGTAGCCATATGAGGAGACAGCCTTTCTCTCCTTTAGAGGAAGCAGCCTTCACCAGAAAATGGCACCTTTATTTTGAACTTCCCAGCCTCCGGGACAGTAAGAAAACTAATTTCTACTTTTTACAAATCAACTAGTCTAGGATATCTTGTGTTACCAGCAGAAATAGACTGAGACATCAGTTACATCTCAATGAAACTTTATATTTTTAAAAAACTAAACATGAAATTCCTATTAGTAATTAAACTCTTGAGAATCTGTATCAGGAAAATAAAAATTCAAATTTATACAAAAATCTATACATAAATGCTCATAGTAGTCTTAATAGTAAAAAAGTAAGGGGGAAAAACCCCACAAAATTTCCTTTAATAGATGAATGGTTAAGTCACAGCATATCTATATCATGGAATAGAGTGTTCAGCAGTAAAAAAGGATGAAACTGTTGATACACATAACGATTTGGATGAGTCCCCAGGGAATTGTATTGTAGCGGGGGCAGGGGGAGGGAGATTATATTAAAAGGTTACATGTGGAAGGGAAGGACAACCAAAAAGGGATGGATTTGGGTGTATATTTGTGGTACAATCATGTGAGATAGAAACGAACCTTGTGATAGAACATTCTGTATCTTGACTGTGGGAGACACATCAACTGTCTCCTGTGATAAAACTACATAGAACTAAATTCACAGGCACAAATGACAACCATAGCTTTCATAACATGTTACCTTTGAGCAGGATTGTATTTCTGCCTTATTTCTTACCAATCTATGTGAAACTGGAAAGGTCTCGACCTAAATCTTTCAATTAAAAAGCTCATACTAATTTGTGTGAAGGAGTTTTGAAATACAAAGAATGCTATTTCCGTGTCTTTATAAACTCACCCAAATTGGGAGGGATGTAGACAAATGGTGGGACAGCATTGGCGCTGATATTCTCAACTCCCACGCCAACTGGGTAAATCATCCCATTCGGGTCACCGGCCAGAATGGGGTCTGCTGGCTGCAGCAATGCCAGAGGTGTTTCCACAGCAGGCTGCTCAGCCAAGATGGCGGCATGGTCGATTCCTTGAGCACCTTCATCGACAGGCTCTATGTCAAGGTCGGAAAGCAGCTCTTCAGGCTCGGCCTCTTCCTCTGGCTGAGGAACTGTTCCCTCAGGGTCGTCCTGGTCCTGGGTTGCCTGCTCTGTCTCATTTAACGAGTCACCACAAGTTTCCTACCCAAGAAAAGAGAACAGAATGAGTTAAGCTTCCCTCAGTTCCTGGACTTCAGTTCCACCATGAGATCAGCCAATGAAAACTTTTCTTTTTGTTACTGGTTTGTTTCTTGAAACAGGATGTCATATCGTTCAAGCTGTCCTACAGATGAGGGCTCTCCTGCCCGGGCCTCTTGGGTACTGGAATTACAGGCACACTTAACCAAACCTAGCTGTCAAGCATTCTTTTTGTAATTAAAATTTTATTATAAAGAACTTGCAAATAAAAAAAAATCATGCAGGGAAATAAACCAGACCCAAAGTCAAGATATTCTTGTGTGAATACACATTACATCTAAAATGACACTAACCTAGTATAAATCAACTGTGAATAAAAACAAGAATTAAAATGCTAATCAGAAATGGCCTAGTATATTGTTCTTCCAGAAGATCCAAGTTCGGTTTCTAGCACCCATACCAAGAAGCTCATATCTGCTGGTGACTTCCACCCCATGGGATCTGGTGTGTCATTCTGACCTCTGCAGGAACCATGCATACACACACAAACATAAATACTTTTAAAATATTTTTAAAAGTTGATCAAAGCATGGACATCTATACCTATCACCACACTACTTTCTACTTTTAAAAGAAAATACTGCCCCCCCAGGTACATTTTAGGTGAGTTTTATGCATGGTCACTTAGTAACATAAAAGTACTTGTGGTAATTTAGCCAACCTACACTTAAGCATTTTATCAATAGAATTTTAGTCAACCATCTGCTGCTGAAACAAGTGTAGATCAACCTTGCTAACATCATGGTTACCAGCTCTATATCTTTAGGTACTAGAAGTTTAGCAAAATTGGAAGCATGTTCTGATAATACTTACACATCTCTCTGTCTGTGACATCTCACAAACTTCTTGCATTCTTGAAACAGTGTCATAAATATGGGTAATCTGCCTGTTTGTCCTTTCAAGAAGTTCTTCTAAATGCTATTATAAATAAAAAAAATTGTTATCATTTTAAAAGAAAAGTAACACATGAAATTGTATGAAGCATGGGGCTGGAGAGATGGTTCAGCTGTTAAGAGCACTTGCTTCTTTAGCCGAGGACCTGGGTTCAATTCCCATCACCCACACTGTGGTTTATGACCATGCCTAATTCCAGTTCCAGGAGATCTGTTCCCAATTCTGACCTCTGCAGGCACCATGCATGTATGCGGTGCACATACATACATGTAAGTAAAACACATAAAATAAAATGAATACTCTAATAAAAAAATAAAATTAAAAATGAAGTAATTAATTTTAAAAAAATCTATGAAGCTGACTCTTGGTGAGGCCTGGGTGCGACACCAACCACTTGGCTGAGACATGGACTCTCAACCTGCCTCTACACTATCTGACTTATGCACCCTTACTTGGAAGAAACCTCAGTGACAGAAGGTGAGCACTTCACAGCCCCTGACATCCTCCTATGCACACATACATGCTGCAGCAACTGCCCATCAAGGAAGGTGGTACCTTAAGAGAAATTCAAAAGCCAGGGCTCCACCCCACACCTACTGAATGGAGAACCTGAGTGGAAGCAAAAGGCTGGGTTTTGACAGTCCTTGTGTGGCTCCAGAAACATGCTAAAGTGAGAGAAATGTTAATGATTGGTTCAACAGTGCTCAATACCCCATTAGTGTTATCACCTCTGTACACTATGTCACAGGTAAGGAGGGGAGGCCCACATTGCCCAGAAGGGGCAGACAGAATCCAGACTCTCAGCTGAGTCTTTTCAGAAGTGGAGTCTGGCTGGGTGGTGGTGGTGGTGGTGGTGGTGGTGGTGGTGGTGGTGGTGGCGGCGGCGGCGGCGGCGGCGGCGGCGGCGGCGGCGGCGGCGGCACACGCCTTTAATCCCAGCACTCCGGAGGCAGAGGCAGGCGGATCTCTGTGAGTTCGAGGCCAGCCTGGACTACCAAGTGAGTTCCAGGAAAGGCACCAAAACTACACAGAGAAACCCTATCTTGGGCGGGGGGGGAAGCTATAGGTGAAGATAAGTGGGGCATCAAGGGCATCAGCATGCTCAAAAAATACACAGGGAGAAAAGGAAGTTCAGTGTTTCACAGCCAGTATAATAAATGCTGTCTAAGGAACTGTGTTCTGAAGGGAGTGCAAGGGTGAGAGCCACTAAGAGGGAATAGGCAGACAAGAAGAGTGATGTTTTGAAGCTGCAGAGGAGAAAGAGCAACAGGAACTACATACATGATTGGGAGGTGGGGGCTGTGATCAATGCATGGAAGTCTCCCAACACAGAAAGCAAGGACGCTGCAGAAACCAGCAAGGGCACGAGTCCTGAGCAACAGAAAACTTCATTCTCCATGATCCAGAATGGTCCAAAGCAAGCTAGGCTCAGGCAGGTTTGCTGGCTGTGGAAGCTGCCTGGGGCTGTGGAATATTCACCAGGCAGAAGACAGCCCTGCCCAAACTCCTCTGGACTCTGCCTCCCGCCCATATCAGGCCCAGAGACACACAAGATGCCTGGCGAGGAAAAGTTGCTAGAAGGAACTGGAGAAAAGACAGAGAAGAACCAAGGACTGCAAGCAGCATAGCCTAGGGGTGCACCAGCAGAAGTCAGTGAAAGCCCGGAGCCAGTAATATCAGAAATAGCAGTGCTTCAAGGGATAGTTCTTCAGAACATGACTTGGGAACCTGAGCATTTTTAGCCCTGACATCACAGTTTACCCAGTTTGCCTAGTTGTTGGGACCCTGGCCAATACTATACCACAGGCAGCAGGGAACTAAGGTCTAGGCACTGTAGGCTCTACAGCCCTAATAGATCTCAAACTTTTAAATTTGTTATTATTTATTTTATTTGCATTTTTACTGCTGATTGAATCTAGAACATCATACATGCCAGGTAAAGGCTCTGATACTGAACTATATCCCCAGCTCTTTTTTTTCCCCCCGCTTTTTTTTTTTAAGACAAGGTCTCATTAAATTGCTCAGGCTAGCCTTGGCCGTGGGACCTTCCTGCCTTAAGCCTCCCCAGTAGCTAGGATTATATGCCTACACCACCACTTCCAGACAAACCTTTCCTTTTCAAACTATGTTAGCACATTCTATTCAAGAACTCTTATGGGATAAGAACCACCTATTTTATATGTATCTCCATTGTCTAGGGCAGTAGATCTTATATTTTTGGTTGTGAGCCTAGCCTTTAATGGCTGAGCCATCTCTCTAGCCCTAGGGCAGTAGATCTTAACCTTCCTAATGCTGTAACCCTTTAATACAATTCCTCAAGTTGTGGTGACTCCCAGCCATAAAATTATTTTCATTGCTACCTCATAACTGTAATTTTGCTGCTGTTATGAACCGTAATGTAAATATCCTGATATGCAGAATATCTGCCATGTGACCCCATGAAAGGGTCACTTAGCCCCCAAACGGGCATGAGCCAAAGGTTGAGAACCACTGCTCTAGGGTATGCAGTTCACAAAAGCCCAATAGTTACGTATTTCTATTGGTATCTACTAAAAAAGTTAGTTTCTCTAATACCCCCTCAAAATGACATTAAAATAAATTCCTCACAAAAAGTTGTTTCAGTTGTAATAACTTACATGCATAACTTTATATGCAGTTAGGCTCATAATAAAATTGCATCCAAATCAGCCAATTGTCATAGAAGACTACATAGGAAAATTAAACATCAAAGAATTTACATGCGTTTTAATTGCATTTAATTAATTATGGGCTTTTTCTTCTTCTTTTATTTTTAAATTAGTAATGGAGCTGGAACCCAGGGCTTGAAGTGTGTTAGGTAAGCATTCTACCCGTGAGCTATATCCCCGGTCCTTTCTTCACTTTTTATTCTGAGATAGAGTCTCACTAAGTTGTCAAGGCCGACTCTGAACTTAAGATCCCTCTGCCTCAGCATCTTGAGTAGCTGAGATTTACAGGCCTGCACTATCAGGACCAGTTAATTACAAGTTGTCGTTGTTTTTATAACTTATAATATCCATATTGACAGTTCAAAATTTCACGTTGGGATAGCATTCTAATCAGAATTTCTAAGTGTATATTATAGTGGGATGATAATTACAGAACAAGAGAAAAGTTTAATGGTACAATGTCACTAAATGTAATAAAACCTGCTCAATATTTTAGAAAAAATAATTTAAAAGAACTTTGATACCTCACAAAGAATACATTTAAAAGACAGAAAGCTCAGCTGGGTGGTGGTGGCACACACCTATAATCCCAGCCCTCAGGAGGCAGAGCCAGGAGGATCTCTGTGAGTTCGAGGCCAGCCTGGTCTACAGAGTGAGTTCCAGGACAGGCACTAAAACTACACAGAGAAACCCTGTCTTGAAAAACCAAAAAACCAAAAACAAACAAACAAACAAAAAAGAACTCTCAATACCTCACAAAATGATAGAGATCTTGAAGAATGTTTCAAATATTTTGTTCCTCTATAGAGATTATGAAAGCAAGTAGCCAGTGCTTAATATCAATATCACTGGGAGCTGAATTAAACACTAGAAAAAATATTTTCAAAAAGCTACCCATTTTAATAGTTTTTACTTTGACTTACATTCTAAAGGATTTCATAAATCTAGTACTATAAAACAAAGATAAAGTAAGCCAAAACCCACCTTCATTTGAGAATGAAATAGAAAAAGCACTGATTAATATAAAGGCAGAAAATAAAGAAGCTGTATAAGGACTTAAGTTGGGGAAAAGTGACTCATGAGTATTAATTACTATGAACATATTTTAATATAAATAAACACAAGATTAGGGGTGTGGCTTGGTGGCAAAACACTTGCCTAGCATGCCCAAGATATTTTTTCCATGTGATTGCATGGTTTATTTATTACCTGAGAGGGCCTAGGATTACTGACCCTAGAATTAACAATGAATGCACCTAGAATCCAGATCTGGATTTCCATTCTCCAAAACAGAAGGATTCCTTCAGAAGTTGAATTCCTAGGCAGGAGCAGGGAAAATGCTGATAAACATAAAACATCCTTTGATGCCAGAAAAGAAGAAAATGCTCAAGAAAAATGAAGACAGAGCAAGAAAGCTTTAGGAGCCAAAGGGAATAAGTTCAAGATTACCCAAACTGGAAAATCAGATCAATGACATGAGTGATGCTAATACTGAATTGTAAAACATAATAAAGTAAGTATTGAGTCTGTTTTGATATACTGATATATACACATATATGTATATATATATATATATATATATATTTAAATAGGTAGTAGTAATATTAGCCCATAATTCATAATACAATTAATGTTCATAGGTCTGCTTTTATATGACTAAATAAAATAAAATGAGTGAGAAATAAATGATTCTTCCTAACAAATTCTAATCAAGTAATTCTAATAAACATAGAAGAAATGAAGGAATAGAGAATTACCATTAGGCAAATATCTCAGAAATGATGGACACAGTTCAAAATCTATGGATAGACAATAACTCAACTCAGTGGGTTTGGGAGAAGCAGGATGTTAAAAGAACCACAGAAAATGCTATGTATTTACAACTTACAAAAGGAAAAAATGGAAGATACTTTGCAAATCAAGTGATTGATGGTAACATCACCATTAAAAAGATATGCAGACAACACCTACCCTGTGAGATGGCTCAACAAGAAGATAACATCACTTGTGCAGTATTCTTGTCAGCAATGAATAATCTCAATGTAGTCAAAAGCGGATATTAAACACACAAAAAATGAGAAACATTTTATAAAGTAACTGACTAGCTGTCATCGAATGTGAAGGTCACAATAACATGGAGAGAATGAGGAACTGTGACAGATCCAAACAGACAATGGAGACAATTAAATCGTGTGTGTGTGTGTGTGTGTGTGTGTGTGTGTGTGTGTGTGTACATTTAATGATAATAATTACAGAAGAAGAGGTCATGAATCTGAAAGGGGGTGTGTTCGCAAGAAGAAATAGTGACTCACAAGAAGAGTTGGGGGGGTAGAAATA